CAGGAAGATTTGATGATACACACACCAAAAAAAAAAAAAAAAGAAAAAAATATCATCAATTCTTCTTCAGTCTTCCTTATTCATTGCCCAACCTACAAATGATACCCAGTAATTAAAAGTATTGTGGCATGGATCAGGTGCACTTTAAATTTTAAACTGACATAATTGCTCTTTAGCACTTTAGAGTGGACCTTGATGGCAGATTTTCCCAATGCAACATGTCCTAGATTTCTTTTCTTCTGGTACCAATGGTGTTGATTGTGGATTCAAGCAAGATAAAATTGAAACTTCAATCTTTTCCATCTGTCACGATGTTGTCTATTGGCTCACAGGTAGATATATATAAAATTAGATCTATCTATATCTGTATAACTATGCTTATATCCACGCAGCTCTGAAATATAGCATGGTTTCATAGTGATTTTTCTGTCCAGAAGATTTTTGCTCAAAGGCCATTAATCAGCTTTGTCAGGGGTCTTTTCTCAGCATTGTTTCTTGGGCTTGCTTTCTATGCACCCACCTCCTCTATGTGCCTGGGAACCATCTTTACCACCATTAGTGGTGGAACCAGTTCAATGAGTTAAGAAAATCTTTCCCAGGTGCTTGCTATATATTTGTATGGAAATAATATTTTCCATTTTTGAAAATTGTGCTTTGACACAACCCAAGATTATTTTGTTAAAGAAAGTAGAAGTTGCTTTCAAAGTCACACATGGAAGACACCAGAGGGCAGGCCCCAGGCCACTCACCTGTCAGCTTGTCCACACTCACACCCTCTGCAGCTGCTCGCTCTAGCTGGAAAAATTCGTAGTCAAATCGGCTCACGTCCTCACCCCCTCGCTCAGAAGGAAGCCCGATATACAGGTAAGCGCTGTTAGATCCCAAAATAATCCGGTCCTATTGGGGGGTGGGTCAAAGAGGGTTCAGTGGTAAAATTACTATCCTCCATCAACTTACTATGCATCTGAGTGCTGGACAGAGAATAAAGATGACAGAAGAAGAATTGATACCTTTGAGCTTGTGGTATTGGAGAAGAGTGCTGTACATCCTATGGACAGCCAAAAGACAAACAGATATGTGTTAGGGAAGGTACAACCAGAGTGTTCTTGGAGGCAAGCATGATGAAGCTTCGTCTCTCATACATTGGGCATGTTGTTAGGAGGGGTTACCCTGAAGAGGCACATCGTGCTTGGAAAGGTGGAGGAGCAGCGAAAGAGAGGAAGATCTTCAACCAGATGGACAAACACAATGATTGTAGTTATGGACTCAAGTGTGTCAGAGATGGTGAGGATGGCACAGGATGGGACAGGGTTCTGGTATGTTGTTCATAGGGTCATTGTGAGTTGTACTCAACTGGACAGCACCTAACCACCACATCCACCACTAGAGGCCTGACTTCACATCCCAAACAGCACCCAGCCACTAGTGGAGGCTTATATGTCACTATGATGTTGGGTATATTCCAGAAGCACTCCCCAGATTAAGATAGGCTAAGGAAAAGCTTGCTGATGGACTTCTCAAAGTCAAACCATGGAAAACCCATGTTTACCACAGCACTATTTATAATATCAGAGAGCTGGGAACAAACCACATGCCCATTGATGGGCAAACAGCTACAGACACTGTGGGACAGTCACACAATGGAGTTTTATGCACCACTGAAAAATGATTAAAAATTGTGAATTACACAACATGGATAAAACTAGAACAAATTATACTGAGTAGCAAAAGTCAGTCACAGAAGGACAATGATGGGAGACAACTTATATAAAAAGCTAAGATATTGCTTACCCACAGAGAATCAATCTTCAAGGATTAGCAGATGAGAAGTAGGGGGAGGAAAATAATGCTATTATGGTATAAAATCACTATCATAGAAAGTTAAGACCAAGTTCACACTTATAGAATTAATTGGATGGTTTAACATAGACGGACAGGGAGGAAAAGGAAAATTAAAATAAAGTTCTATGTATCACAACAGTCTGATCTTGTTGTTCATGATGTTTTGGAGACTGACCCCCTGGCAGTGGTGTGTGTTCATGTACATTCTTAGCACTTCCAGAGGATGGTGGATTGTCTTCACATTATACCCACATCTGCATGCCAGAGAGGTGCGAGGCCATCCTTGCTTCAGGACAGGCCGAAGTCCAAAGGCCAGACGTATTGTTAAATACTGTTGAGTACAATGCATAGACCCTATGAACTTCAGATCAGAATCCTGTCCTATCCCATGCCATCCTCATCCTCACTGCCACACTAGAGCCCGTTGATAAATCACTGTGTCAATCCATCTTGTTGAGGCTTTTTTCCTCCTTTGCTGACCCTCTACTTTTCTGAGCATGATCTCTTTCTCCAAGGATGGGCCCTTCCTAACAACATGCCCAAAGTATGAGAGCAAGATTTCACCATCTTTCTGTCTAAAGAGGATCCTGGCTGCACTCTCTTCAAGACATATGTATTTATTTTTTTTTATAGTCCATAGGATATTCAGTATTCTCTCCAGCACCACAGCTCAAAAACATCTACTCTTTTGTCACCTTTATTCCCTGTCCAACTCTTGGATGCACCACAAGTAACTGAAAAGAACATGGCTTGGGTCAGGCACACCTTAGTCTTTAAACTGACATCCTTGCTTTCCGGCACCTTGGAGGGGTGTCTGACTTCAGACATTCTCAATGCAGCATATTTTTTTTTACCAGACCAGCCTTGTTTAAGAGATCCAGAAAATGTTCTTCCCCCAGGAGCCCTTCCAACAAGCAGCTACCATGAAGGAGGAGGAGGAAGGGCACCTTGCCTTTGCCAGCCATGGTCCCATGTTTCCCACTTAGTCCACATGGCACACTGACCATTAGCTCAGAAGGTGTGGACACCTTACAGACCCAACTCTTCTTTTTAAGATATGTTTTTTTTAAAACAAAACAAAACAAAACAAAACCTCATTTCCTTCATGTCAGAACTGACTGACAGCTGACCCGTCAGTAGGGTTTTGGAGGCTATATATCGCCCGGGGGAGATTGCCCATCTTTGTCCCTCAGAGCTGCCAGAGAACTGCCATCTTTCAGTTGACAGTGCAACTCGCTACAGACTATGACTCTGATGATGGCATGCACACAGTTAGACTTATACGGTTAGGCCGATAGTAAAAGCTGCCTGTGTAAGGACCTGTAGCCTATTATTACATAGCCTAAGACAATGGTTAAAGTTGCCAATGTGAGGTCCTTTAACCTAATCAGTTAACTAGCTGTGAGATTGTTATTCCTGATACTAAAGATTTGCAATTCTAACTTAAAAACCAGAAAATTTCTTGAAGAACGTACCATCATCTAGAAGCCAGTTAGAACCTACATGGAGCATCAAACTCAGGACATCTGACAACCATCACGGGACATGATGCCATGGAACAGCAACCTCTCCAGATCCCTTAAGGTTTCCCTCCTGGACTCCCACATTCCTTCCTCTCACTGGCTCCCTTGGCCACCCCCTTAAGAGGCCTGGCTCAAACCCGAGACATCAGAAAGTGGTCTTTAAGACGTCCTTGCTTGGCTTTCCATTAGGACACTGATCTCAACAAAGCATATTTAAAGATTCAACTCTTGTCTCCTCCACTCAGTCGGCTTGTAGTGACAGGCAGCCAAACGTCATCTTTTACCAGTTACAGATCTGCCTGCTCTGCCTGGGACAGTGACAGAGTTCTCCCTGGTAGAAGAACACTCTGGGGGAGCGGACTGTGAAATTTTTATTTGGGGGCTTTCCATTGTTGACTCTTAGCATCTCCCATCCCTTTCACTGAATCGCTAGGACTTTCCAGACTAGTTCTGAGCCCAGTACTTTTCTGGTTCCGGTCACTCAGCCGTTAGGCTGTATGATTATAAATGCCTTCCTAATTCAGCTAAGCTGGCCATGAGGTGGTCTGTAGACTTTAGTCTGTTGTCTGATTAGCTGCACTAGATTGTCTGTGTCTGATTTTAAGCACTAATTTTTTATTCAGGTAAATAGCTTGAGGCTGTTTTTCTGTTGAATACTCATTTTCTGGAAAGTTTATTAAACTCTGTCTGGTTAAGAACAGAGAAAGGAGCCTCCATCGCCAGACAAAGGCCATTCAGCCAGATTCTGGCTGCTTGGTAGGCCTAGATTTATTTCTACATGGAAATACAAAATTGTGTTTGGCTGTAATGTTGTTTTAGCCAATGTATCACCTTTTCTTTTTTTAGCAGTTTTATGGTTTTTTTGTTATACAATTTTTACTTTATACTGGTTTACTTACAAAGTTTGTATACATTGTTTTTCACACCGAATCTTTCTAATTTCCTTAACCCACGGCGCCCTCCACCCCTCAAATAGAGCGACTCTGTGATTAACCCTCCCCCTCCCCATCCTCACCCTTCTGCTTCTCCCTCCCTTCCTGCCCTTAGATCCTCATACACCTTTTACCAGGAGGACATTCAGATGACCAACAGACACATGAAGAAATGCTCTAAACCACAATGAGATACAATCTCACTTTAGAAGCAGTGGCAAAGTTTAACAGAATAGCAAATAATAAACATTGGAGAAGATGTGGAGAGATAGAAACTCTCATACACTGTTTGTGGGATTGTAAAATGATACAACCACTCTGGAAGTCAGTTCAGTGTTTCTTCAAAAAGCTGAACATAGGAATTCTACACCATCCAGCTATTCCACTGCTTACAATACACCCTGAGAAAATGAGAACTGAGGCACAAACAGATATTTGCACACCAACGTTCACAGCAGCATTGTTCACCATTGCTAGAACTTGGAAACAGCCCAACTTTTCAACCACTTTCTAATGGATTGAGAAATTATGGTACATCCACATGATGGAATACTATGCAGCATGTAGGAGCAATGATTTTGAAAATCACAACCCGGGGAGCTCTGGTGGCCTAGTGGCAAGAAGCTGTACTGCAATCCCAGAGGAACACGGTTCGAATCCACCAGATGCTCTGCCGGAGAAGGAGGCGAAATCTCCTCCTGTACCAGTCAGATCTGATTTGACGGTACACACACACACAAAATAATAAAAAAATAATTAAAAAAAAAGAAAAGAAAAAAAAAAGAAAATCACAACCCAACTTGGGAGGGAATGGAGAGCATTATGCTGAGTGAACTAACTCAGTCCCATAAGGACAATGTATCATTTTGATTCAAGTGAGAGGCAGCTGTTAAAGAGCTCTTAAAATTATTTTATTATCTTATAATTAGAGCTACTTTGTTAAATCTCTAGAAAGTGGGATAAAATCCTGTACATACAAGCCTTTATGTCTATCTGTAACTGGAACTTGGCTAAGAAGGAAAGCTGGTTGATGGTACAAAAGGTTGATAAGCCTAGTCAGTCTAAAGTTGTTACAGGAAGTCAGGACTTTAAAAATGTCCTGAGCAAATAGGCTTACAAGCAAGAGAAACCCCTGCCATCTCTACCCCCATCAGCCCCAATGGCCCAAGCCTTACCAGCAGCCCAGGTCTTTGGCCCAATAGATCCCAAAAGTGTTTTACTTAATCTAGCAGTCCTGTAGGAGTCTGAAAGGAATACTTTTCTTTAAGCAAGCAAAACTGTTACTTAAAAGATGAGTCATTAAAAGTCCTTGAATGCTATTTTCCAACCTTCACTTGCCTTTAGTGAGAAAAAGTTCAAATATCCCAGCAACAAGAATTTCAAAGTCCCCAAGGCCGAGAGATTCCGCTGCTATTGGGGAATGCTGTCAGGCCCATCACCCACCAGAACAGCTACCGAGTTTGTTAGGATCAGTAAACTTTTGCCTCATTTAGATTCCAGATTTTAACTCAAAGTTAAATCCCACTACAGAGCCCTATGGGGGGGGGGGGGACATGTATAGAAAACAGAGCCCAATAAATCACACTTTACGTCTGTAAACAGTAACAAATCTTGAACTCAGAGCTTAAAATAGTTTCTCCACCACAGCATTCTTAGCTTATTCCTTCAATAATCAACAGTATTGTAACGGCTCTAATCTGTGCATATCCGTTTGGTTAAAATAGTCTAAA